AATTAGAAATATCACTTTATATGTAACACTAAGTAAATGACCAAAGTACCCACTTATTAGCGCATGAGTGATCTCAAATATATCGCCTAAGGACTCAAATATATCACTATACAAGCCATAGCCATCCGTGTATATATAACGCTAGGTAAATCTCCAAAGCACTCTTATATTACTGTATTAATGATGCCAAATATATCGCCTAAGATGTTTAAGGCTAAGTATATCATCAAAGTTCTCACACATCATTGAATAAATGATGACAAATATATTACATAATAACCCTAGCATTACTCTATAAATGAGGACATGTATATCATCTAGGAACGCACACATGTTATCAAATAGGGCCATATATATTTTAAATGAATATTGCCACCGATATCCTAAAATACATATATCACTGTATAAACTTTACCATAGATATTATTAAAATCATACATCACTGTCTGAACGTGTCTAAACCATCATGAAGGGACACCTATTCACTGTATGAACATGTCTAAAACATCAGGAAGGGACACCTATTCATTGTATGAACATGTCTAAAACATCAGGAAGGGACACCTATTCACTGTATGAACATGTCTAAACCATCATGAAGGGACACCTATTCACTGTATGAACATGTCTAAAACATCAGGAAGGGACACCTATTCATTGTATGAACATGTCTAAAACATCAGGAAGGGACACCTATTCACTGTATGAACATGTCTAAACCATCATGAAGGGACACCTATTCACTGTATGAACATGTCTAAAACATCAGGAAGGGGGACACCTATTCATTGTATGAACATGTCTAAAACATCAGGAAGGGACACCTATTCACTGTATGAACATGTCTAAACCATCATGAAGGGACACCTATTCACTGTATGAACATGTCTAAAACATCAGGAAGGGACACCTATTCACTGTATGAACATGTCTAAACCATCATGAAGGGACACCTATTCACTGTATGAACATGTCTAAAACATCAGGAAGGGACACCTATTCACTGTATGAACATGTCTAAACCATCATGAAGGGACACCTATTCACTGTATGAACATGTCTAAAACATCAGGAAGGGGGACACCTATTCATTGTATGAACATGTCTAAAACATCAGGAAGGGACACCTATTCACTGTATGAACATGTCTAAACCATCATGAAGGGACACCTATTCACTGTATGAACATGTCTAAAACATCAGGAAGGGACACCTATTCACTGTATGAACATGTCTAAACCATCATGAAGGGACACCTATTCACTGTATGAACATGTCTAAAACATCAGGAAGGGGGACACCTATTCATTGTATGAACATGTCTAAAACATCAGGAAGGGACACCTATTCACTGTATGAACATGTCTAAACCATCATGAAGGGACACCTATTCACTGTATGAACATGTCTAAAACATCAGGAAGGGACACCTATTCACTGTATGAACATGTCTAAACCATCATGAAGGGACACCTATTCACTGTATGAACATGTCTAAAACATCAGGAAGGGACACCTATTCACTGTATGAACATGTCTAAACCATCATGAAGGGACACCTATTCACTGTATGAACATGTCTAAAACATCAGGAAGGGACACCTATTCACTGTATGAACATGTCTAAACCATCATGAAGGGACACCTATTCACTGTATGAACATGTCTAAAACATCAGGAAGGGACACCTATTCATTGTATGAACATGTCTAAAACATCAGGAAGGGACACCTATTCACTGTATGAACATGTCTAAACCATCATGAAAGGACACCTATTCACTGTATGAACATGTCTAAAACATCAGGAAGGGACACCTATTCATTGTATGAACATGTCTAAAACATCATGAAGGGACACCTATTCATTGTATGAACATGTCTAAAACATCATGAAGGGACACCTATTCATTGTATGAACATGTCTAAAACATCATGAAGGGACACCTATTCACTGTATGAACATGTCTAAAACATCATGAAGGGACACCTATTCACTGTATGAACATTAGAAAAGAAATCAGCAACAAACCCTCGCATTACTGCCTGAATGTTGATATAGATTTAGGTAAAAATGTATTTATCCCTCCGTGAATATTGGCACTGATATCAGCGAAACAACTTATTCAACGTTTCATGTATGCATATTTATATACATAACAGGTTGAAACTCATGCATCAATGAATTAATACTGTCAGATGTCAGAAAGAAACGATATAGATTTTTGTATGTAGAGCCTCAGATAGCATAGAATATAATCCCCCGTAAATTACTCAATTAATATAGATATATTTATATTTTGGCTTATCTCTAGTACACGTGGTATAGGCCATGATAATCATGGTGGGTAGAAGTTCGCGACTGCTTTTACTGTAAGTGCACTACATGTCTACACATATGAAAAACAGTTCGACTTTGCACTTACAAATGTGCCAGAGCCCCGTTTGGTTACTTGCGCTCGTTGGTGGGGTTGGACTTTTGCAAAAATCGGGGGCCATTGGAGCAGTTATTTAATCAGAAAAATGTGCCCAATGCAGGAATCGAACCCGGAACATAATGGTCGAAAACCACTGGTTTAGAGCACCTTTCAACAGACCCCCATAATATATTGAAATGATTCTTGTCACCATATGAGTTTTAACATGGAAATCAGGTGAGAGGTTCATGCATATACACAGGAATATAGCCAATATTATCGCTAATTCTCGTGCATTTTACTATATGTGATAAATAACAAACCATACTACTCCCACAGTGTACTAGATAGAATCTACTTCTTTCTAGTATATATCGTAAAGATAGAGGCTACCTGTCCGATATTCATAGTTTTTCAAATTTAAGACATTTCGGCCAGTAAATCTTTTTATTGCCTCGACGTTTCGACAAAAATATTTTGTCCTCGTCAGGAGCGAACAAAAATTAAAACATTTGGCAAAGCGTTAATAATTATTCTAAGGCTGCAAGGGCGTTCTCATATATTCTATTATATACACGCTGCTATACATATAAGAAACACATATTCATTACCTCAACACAATTGTGATAATAAGAATCAACAACAAGTCTCTAAGGATAAATGTCTTCTTTTATCACCAACTCTTCGAGCTTTCGGGAATAATGACCCTTCTACAGGAATATCAAATATGTGGTGATACTTGCACTTTGGAAATATTTTATAATGAATTAACTTTCAATCAAACAATCACCACTCTTTATATTAGTACTTCCAACATTTAAGTTTCTTTATGATCCTTGTAAAGACATATGCAAATTTGGAATTGTGACAGAGAGTCTCATATTTAGCCATAGATTTGACCTAGCCACTTTATCAGTTGAAAACTTCCTTGGCAGAATGTGAAGATTCCATTTGACCCCTCTTGGATCTCATGAAATAAAGTCCACTCTAGACTGACGAGGGCCATTACCCCGAAACCTTAGTCTCTAGGTGGATGCTTCTTAATTTGCCAAAGCTGGTGTTGTAGCTTTGTAACAGACCTGAGTCTGCTAGTTTTCGAAGATGGTCAATAGATGACGCTTAGTGTTGGGATCTATTTTTTCGATAAAGGCGACCTTTATTTTTATAACTACTTCTAAAAAGATAATAAATAGAATTAGAAAATTTTCTAAAGTCATGATATCACTGATATCAGGAATGAGCCATTCTTCGCTACAATCAGATCCCCACTGAGGCATTCCTGCCTCATTCCAAAAATGAGACCATTGACATCAGGGAATCATTCATGTCTAATTACAAGCATGATCTATTGATATCATCAAAGCATTCATGCTTCACTACAAACATGCGACTACCAAATTTAGCAAGGCATTCAATCCTCATTACAAGCATATAACCACAGATATCAACTAATAATTCATGCCAGTCAACAATCATGCAAACTAATGATAACATTAAAGTCGAAAAAGGAATAAAAGAAAACTGCGAACGGATTCTTTATACGATATAATCTTGGCAAGCTTTCGAAATATGACGTTCTTCAACAGAATATTACACGCATTATATATTGTTACACATTGTATTGGGTATTGAATGTTGTATTCGTGTAATAGATTGTTAAAGGACGTCATATTTCAAATTTCGACTTAGAGCGCTATGTGTCCCTCTAGGGACACTTGCTTTTAAAAATAAACAAATTTTGAAAGAAAAAAAAAAGAAAGATATTTTTAAAATGTATAAGAATTAGTATGTAAGTTAGTTAGATGAAAAGAGAAAAAAAATATCAACACAATTGAAATTTGTACAAAGGGTTGGTATGCAAATTTAGTTCAATGAAATCAAATTGTAAATTATTGTGTGTATTCGAGAAAAGTAATTTACAGATTGAAGAAAGTTTTAATGAATATTTTAGATTGAAAATATGTTATATATTAGAGAATTATTCAATTAAAACAATAATAAAAAGAGTTAATTTCTAAATGAAAGCGTTCCAATGGAATTTAGTAGTTTTTTTTTAAATATAAAATTCGAAAAATTAAAGGATGTCATAGCTTGCCAAGATTATATCGCATAAATAAAATTTTGTCGCCGTTAACTTTCATTCCTTCCTCGAAATAACATCAGACGATACCTCTACTTGTAATAACATTAGAGCATCGTAAAGATAGAGGCTGCCTGGCCGGCATTCATATTTCTTGAAAATAAAGATACTTCGGCCAGTAAATATTTTTATTATCTCGACGTTTCGACAAAAAGCTTTTATAGAGCGCCTTTGGAGCCTTAGAATAATTTTAAGGCCTTGCCAAATGTTTTAATTTTTGTTTGCTCCTGACGAGGACAAAGGCTTTTTGCCGAAACATCGAAGTAATAAAAAGATTTACTGGCCGAAGTATTTTTATTTTCAAGAAATTGAAGCATTCATGCCCTTTTACAAAGCAAGTAACAAAGGATATCGATAAAGCATGCATGTTGGCACAAATCTACAACGACTACGTGCATATACAACATCAATCATGCACGTTACCTCGATCCGAAGAACTCGTCTTCCCCTCTTGGCATTCACCGCGTGCCTTATGATCATTGGACATAAAAGCAAGTGGTGAACACGGAGAGCGAGGAAAACTAGCCCAGGATTCCACAGGCGTGGAACTGCACCTGGAGCCAGAGGTTAGAGCTTCAACGGCTCGAGTGACCTAAATCCACACATAGTAACCGCATTATTTCCAAATATCTGAAACTCTGTATATTAACGCTTTTCATATCATGATCATATATTTCAAATTGTATATCGAGAGATCTTTTATTGAACTTACTACAAATTAAATTCAATAAAAATTGTATTCTATTCAAAAACAAGCCTCCTTATATTAAAAAATAAATCACATGGAAGAGTGTATTTGTTCGAAATGTTGTTTGTTGTTTCAACAAACGTGTACATACATTGTTGATTTATTGTCGTAAGTTATATATTAACCCTTCATCAATAGCATTAAAAATATAGTTTATAATTTCATTTTTGTAATTTATATTTCTTTTTAGGGGATTTTGCCCAAAAATTCAAGATTATAGAAATTATATATTTTTTAATAGATATTTTTTAAACTATCATTTAAATAAATAGCAAATTTTTAATATTTTAAAATTGAGTTCGGTATGTAATTTTTATTAGTTCGAGAAAAAACGCGCTTATCATCAAATATTTGAATATATATAAAACATAACTCGATTAGAACGAATATTGCTTTTCGAAAAATGAATAATTATTTTTAAAATTTAATTTATATATACATATAAAAGGAGGATGTTATTTGAGGTATATATTTTTATTTATGCTTTTATAGGGTGTATCATATCATTATTTTTGTTTTTATGTTTTTATATTTGTTTTTTCAAGTAGAAATTCAATATTGCCTCATTCGAAATAAATATCAATAACTTTTAATGTGCGTTCTTAAAATAATTTGCTGGTTGGAAGTTGATTCGGAGAAAAACACAGCCACATCAACCAAATTATGTGCGATTAACAAACATTGTCAAAACAAATTCTGGATATCAAACGATGATATTAATATAACGTCATGATGTTAATTTAGATGCTATTAAAATATCACACGTCACAAATAAAACTTCTTCAAAACCGACTTATTTGACTGAAGACATTTCGCGAAAATTTACCTCCATATTGAATAGTTATTCACCAAACGATGTTACAATAACAATACATATATATATAACAAAAAGAAAAAATATATTTTAAAATTGAAACTATTTGTAAATAATATTAATTGTAGGAAAAAGGAACCTTCATAGTAATACAGTATTGATGAAGCACGCCACCTGCTGTGAGTTCCAAAACAAAACAAAAAAAAACTTAGTAAAACATTGACGAACGGTTGATCAAAATATTGAGAAAAAATAAACCTTAATATATTCAAATTAAACCTTATTTTTTAAAATATAGATATTCTGGATTGCTCTATATTCAGAATCAATTGATTCAAATTGTATATATAAATCTGTATATATAAATCTTTAATAATCTTAGCGGCGTTTATATGTTTCTATGTACTACTGTAGAAGGACAGAGATTCCCGAAATCTCGAGATCACGTTTAATAAAGATAAAGACACTCACACACACACACACACACACATCTCCAGAAACCATTGTTTGACTATATTCAGAATGTTAAACATTGTAACAATTTGTTCATAGTTATACGCTATTTTAAAAGTAGAATCATATCAATCGAAGTTAAATATGGTATATCTAATGTATGTAGACATCAACTTTCTATTATCATAACTATATGGTCATATATATCTTACATATATCTTATTCTTTCCTATTTTTCGAGTTGATATACAAAGGATAATTGTCGTATGAATTATTCCCGTAATAACATCTGTTTGTGTCACTTTGATTGTCTTGTCCTTTGTACTTAGGGTTGAATAAACTCTTGTTTTGATACTTTTCCAACTTTTTTGTTATTGAATACCTTGAAACTCTCTTGTGCCATTCCAGTAGTCTATATTACTTGAACATTCATTCAAAGCTTTGTTACAGTTGGCAATATGTTATCATTATTAACATACATTAGAAACTCCGCCTCTGCCGGTCCCAAGCCCGGATGAAAAAGGGGAAGGCGAGCAGTAACAAGCTCACTAAAAAACCTGGGTTCAGCTGGCCCAGCTGATATTACCCTGTAAGGGCTCTTAATCCAGGGACACAGGATGAGCAGTGTTTGTACTCCATGTTAGGAGTGGCTGCACATGGAGTCTGTTCTTCATGTCAGAGGCGGCCATTTCTTTTGGAGCTAAGTCGGCCTGCCACTGAGTGATACTCCCAGTCTTAATGACAAAGGCAGACGCATTCTACTTCACCCAGTCATGATGGTTGTCAAACAGATACCATCAAAGGTCACAACTTGATACCCTAATATGATTGAGTGGAGATAAGAAAGAAGAAGAAGAACATACATTATGTAAGATATATCTTATAATATCATATATATTACAATATATCAAATTAATGTTCAAGTGATATAGACTACTGGAATAGCACGAGAGAGTTTCAGTGTATTCAATCACAAAAAAGTTGGAAAAGTATCAAAACAAGAGTTTAATCAACCCTAAGTACAAAGGACAAGACAATAAAAGTGACACAAACAGATGTAATTACGGAATAATTGATACGACAATTATCCTTTGTATGTCAACTCAGAAATAGGAATAAATATTCATAAATTAGCATAGAAAGTTTTATAGTAAATGTTTGCGTGAACGCGATTAGTTTTGTGTTTTTCTCATTCAGAGGAATGTAGCTGTCACGAGAGAATAAAATGTTGGGTATAGAATTCATTATTTTAGAATTATGATAATTAACAGAGATATGTGAGGTTAGTTTTTTAATGATTAAAATTAATTTTATCTTTAAATATATGTTTTCATGTGAAAAAATATACATATATGGCATAATAATAGATTATTTTGAATATAAATTGCCCTCCGTTGGGTATATAAGTGAAAAATTATATTTTCAATATAAAATATATGTATATATTGTAGCAAAGTATTTATTATTTTATTAACAGTATCATTTTTGATGTTTATTTTTTGCTACTCTGTAAACTTCCCTCATTTCTTATCTTTTGTTTATCACTCTTGGTTTGTGCTTGCCTTATAAATTGCTGTGTCATCCTGAAGTTTGTCTTTCCTAATTTTCCACGTGGCAATATATATAGATTTATCAGATTACCAATAAAGTAATATTTATTTAAAATATTATCTCAAAATATAAATAAAGATTTATATAGGGAAATATATTTTATGAAAAATTGTATAATATTGTTATTAGTACTGTGTGTTCTGATATTTTATTCAAAAAGCAATGGGTTTCAACTCTTAGGTGAGATTATTCACAGATAATATCCACATCACAGAAGGGTAACTGTCTGGACATTTGAACTCTTAATCATTTTATGAAAATTATTAAATTTATGTGTACACGCGCATATAAGTTCGAGTTCATAATACAGTGTTTGATGACGCAGATGCTTGATTAAAAATAACCAGAATGTTAAGATGGCTGAGCCACGTAATGAAGCATTTTGGGAAGATACAGGGAAAAGGAAAATACAATGACTATTGACACAACAAATAGAAAAGACAGATATGAAGAAAGAAGGATTATGAAATTTGTTGGATACACTTCTCTAATATTGACTCACTTTGATAACTTAGCATTCTCACTGAGAAATATATTAGTACCGGGAGATTCCCATATGTGAAAATGGCTGGCCACTGTCGAGTAAAGTGATTAAATAATTGAAATTATCATGTGAAACCATAAAGGAAGGAATCTTTGTATCATACACTCATAGACAAAACTTGAGAAAGTTGTACCTTTTAGTATTTATATCGGGATTCAGACAATTACTCTGAAAGATATTACAGTGAGCTTTATTGAAGACACACGAGATAACTAAGTGTGAAAAAAATTACCTCAGTCTCCTTTAAGAAAAATACAAAGGACCGGAGACATCAAATTATTAAACCTCCTGTCCATGAGTGTAGTTTTGAATTCACATCTTTCCGAGTTATATTAAATATTTTTGAATTGATTCCAGCAAAATCATTTTTGGACTACCAGATTACTGATCTTTAAAAGAATATTTATGCCTGTGTGTGTGAAATTATAGAAAATAAATAAGAGGGAAGCTAATTTATAATAATAATAAATATTATTATTCAATTTTGTATTTCAAACAGTTATATTGTATTTTGAAATGATCCAACTTACTTTAGTGAGGTATATTATGACTAAATAAAATATGATTGTTCTCCTTGGTGATGTGTCCCGAAGTTTATTCATAGTATAGGGGAACATATCTATTTTCGAATTGTCATATCATCAGAATCAAATTGAAATAGATCTATATATTTCTAATCAAGCCATTGGATGGTGGCTGTCAGTATTTTTGTAGCTTCTAAGTTTCTTTCTATGTCTAATAGCAACATGAGGTTTATCCAGAAATTGTCCAGGAATTTCGTTCTCAGCCTTCCTCTTCATTTTCCTCTTTCCAAACATCCCTCAAGCAATACTTTTATCCACTCTAACTGTCGTACAAGATGTCAAAACTGGTTAGTTATTTTCTAAATATAATGAATAAACTAATTTTATATATAAAAAGAACGTTTAGTAAAATATTTAATGAGTCTCCCATCTGATGAGCGAAATATTTGTAAAATAAAATGGAAAGACGTGTTCTAATCCAACTACCAATAAACGAACATCTCCATACGAGATAAAGAAATTCCATGTTTTTTGGGCGGTCGGAAATAGGAATTTGAACTTAGAAAATATATTTATATTTCTGATGCGTGATATTGTCTTTATATATGAATACCAACTTTTTTAAATATACGACACTATGTGTATGATGATTTATAGTTTTGGTGAAAAAAGTTGTTGGTATCTATTTATTTTCTGTATTATATTTGGAGGAAATGTCCAAATGGAATAAAAGAAAGAAAAACAGAATCCGACTTCTTCGATAATGTCCATTATCCATCTCCATCCATTCCCGGACAAAAGAAGTGCCGTTGTGAATGATG